TTATTTATTTATTTTTACTATATTGGGTATTGAACTTTGGGCTTCATGTGTGCTAGGCAAGAGCTCATCATCAGCCCCGTGGTAGAGCCCTTGCCTTGCAAGTCCCTGTGATTGACTCTAGCACAGAAAGAGGAGGAGGGAGGAAGGAGGAAGGGAGGAGGAAGGAAGGAAGGAGGAAGGAAGGAAGGAAGGAGGGAGGAAGGAGAAGGAAGGAAGGAAGGAAGGGGGAAGGAAGGAAGGGGGAAGAAAGGAAGGAAGGAAGGAAGGAAGGAAGGAAGGAAGGAAGGAAGGAAGGAAGGAAGGAAAAAGTTGGACATGATCAGAACTGTATTTCCTTGAATCACTGCCTTGCTTCAGTGTTCCTAGCAGCCTCAGTGAGGCTGTGGGGGCTTTTCTTAGCCTACTTCTTTGTTTTTTATTGATTGGCTGCTTTGTTCTGTTGTCTCCAGGACCTGGAGCAGTGCTGAGCACACCAGACATTGGAAGGTTCAAGTGTCAAGTGGAGAACCAGGGAGGACTTAGTGAATCATCAGGGCCAGGTAAACTGCCTAGACTACTCACATCCACCTCCCCTTCTTGCAAGAAGGGAGGGACCTTTTTGTTTCTTCTGATCTGGGAGAGAGATCAGCAAAGGTTCTTTGAGGCCCAAGTGACCCCAGAAATCCCTGCCAGGACATTTTTAGCCTGTTCCTCCGTTTCCTGCTGTCTCCTGATTTGGCTCCTTCCTTAAGTTCCTTATCTACAACTGCACTCACCTGCTGTCATCCTAGAAAAATACCTGCTCAAGACTATATAACCCCATGTGCTTGTGATTTCCATATCTCTATTTGCATACATTTGCATGGCCATGTGCACCTAGGGTCTGATTCTCTCACCACCTTATCTAGAACCTGTTGCACTTCTCTCCATGCAGAGTGGTTTGTCTTTCTCTGGGCTGTAGTTTTCTAGAAGGCAGAGAAGTTTGTATCTCATGATGTCCTAAGACTACCCAGGATTCTGGAGTAGGGATGTGGCAGGGAGAGAGTTCTTGGGGAAGGGGGTACTGAGGAGGAGATAGGACCTTGGATGTTTACAGCTAGAAGCAAAACTTAGGGTTCCAAAGATGGGGGGATGGGGTTGGCAAATATTATTGTTTAAATATTAAGTGATTCCTAGGTGCCAAGACTGTGCTCCAGGCTGAACACACCTTTGTGTGTGCAGATGTGTGTGTGTGTGTGTGTGTGTGTGTGTGTGTGTGTGCCAGAGGAAAACCTCAAGTGTCATTTGTTAAATACTTTCCATGTTGTCTCTTGAGAT